TGTCACCAACTTGCCAGCTGCTGAGCTTCTGGGTCCTGAGCCAGTGTCAAATGCCAGAGCCACCTTGCGGCAGGGGCTTCTCACAGTGTGTGCCAGGCAGGGTGTCCATAACCTCAGCCCATCCTCACCTCAGCAAGAGGGGCCCTGCCCTTGGCACCCCCACCCCCACCCATGACAATGTAGACCATGAGAGACTGTGACTTTGCATACATCCCAGGACCCTATTAGAAGAGGAGCTTCTGACCATGTCACTGATAAAGGCTGATGTGCACTGAATGTGTCCTGCTGGATCCTTGTAACAAAGGCTTAAGCCAGTGTTCTCAGAATTTACAGATTAATTAAAGTAAATGAGGCCAAGAGGGTGGGCCCTATTGGAGATGGCTGGGGTCCTCATGAGAAGAGATGGGGACACAGACACAGGCAGAGGGCAGACTGTAGGTGTAGATGGTGGGAAGGCAGCCATCTTCAGCCAAGCTTCGTGGGGACTCAGAGCCTCCAGACCCTGCCCGCACCTTGCACCAGAGTTAGGAGTTGAGGTGACCCAAGGCCTATGTGTTCCACTGTCGGGAACTGGGGGAAATTTACGAGACAGGGCCCAGGAGAGATCATAGGTCACTGGGGATATGTCCTTGAGGGGGATGGGGACCATGGGCCCTCTTCTTTCTCTCTCTCACCCCCTTCCCAGGCACCATAGTGGACAGCTTGATCTACCACACTTTCCCCACCCTGATATATGGCCTCACCTTAGACCCTAAAGCAGCTAGGCCACCCAGTCTCGGATTGAAGCCACCAAAGCTGTGAACCAAAACAAACCTTTTCTATCTTTAAGTTGATAGTTTCAGGCATTTGTTAAAGTAATGGAAGGCAAACATACCTTGATTTTGGACTTACAGCCTCCAGATTGTGAGAAAACACATTTTGACTTTTAAGATACTTGGTGATGATCTATTACAGCAGAGCCCTCACAAACCAATGCATGGGTTTGCTTCTAGCAGCCCAGACTTTGAATTCTTATATACAAGGGATGGAACTCCCTCATCCCTTAAATGCCCAGGCCTAGTCCTCCTGTCCCAGGGAGCACAGGCTGGTCGTATGATGGGGACTGTGGGCAGGAGACAGGCCTGTAGGGAGAAGCAGTGTCAGGGGAGGGGAGAGGGGAGCTAAGGGCCTTCGCCTGCCATTCAGCTCTGCTTCCTGTGGGACTCAGGAGGGGAGATGATTACAGAAAGGAGCGGGCATGAAGGATGTGGGTGGCAGGGCCACTCGTGAAACACAGATGACAGATCCTCAGCATGTAGAAGCCAACTCTGGAGGCGCCTGTCCAGTCCGTCCTCCAATTTCCCTAAGCCCTAGGTCATCCTGCAGCAGTCATGTTTGTGGGAAGTAACTCTGTGGTCAGACCAGAGATCCAGGTGTGGATCCTGATTTGGTTCAGGTCTGAAATATCCTTCAGCAGCCCATGTGTTGGGCTGAGGATGTGGCTCGGTGGCAGAGCACTTGTCCAGCACGTGGGAGGCCCTGGGTTTCAAGCCCAGCAGATTTGGTCATTGAGGGTGCCCTGGAGGGGACCATAAGACCTCAGCCCCTTCCTGACTCACTTTGTTTTCCTGGCTCATGAGCAGTAAGTCAGTGGTCTCAGGTATTTCATTATCCTGAGGCAAAGCTGAACAGCACAGACATTTGACCCAGGATCTTTTCCCCATTAGCAGCCCTGGGGAGCGGCCAGTCAGCTTCTGTGGGCCATCTGGACAGAGGACAGGCAAACAGGGACTGGGGGTGGAGCGCAGTGGCAGCAAGGTGCATAGAGAGGGCAGGGCCACAGGACAGGGAAACAGAGGTGGTAGAGGGGAGAGACAGAGTGCAGAGGCTACATGACCTCATGGCAGGAGGACCTGAAGGAGAAGGCCAAGAGTGCTCCTGGGAGCTCTGCACTGTCTGGTCACTGGGACCTGACTGCCCTTCTGACTCCAGGCCAGTGATCTACAGCCACCTAGTCTGTCCTTCCATCTCAGGCCCTGCTTCTGTGTAGCCTGGAGAGCACAAAGGCAGGCTTTCTGAAACATTCCCATGGCAACTCCCCAGCTGGCAGGAGAGAAACATGCTTATAAGCTGGGGCACATTCCCATGTGGCCCCTGATGTGTTTTCAAACTTGGTCATTAATTTAAGACTTACAATTTAGAGATTTGGAAACATTTTTCAAGTCTGTTGATGTCTTCCGTCCTGCTGTCTACGGTGAGGCTGGGTCCCTGGGCCTGGTCACCACCCAGCTGCCCTCCTCCTTTCTCTCTGTTTCCTGGCTGCTATGATATGAGCAGCTTTTCTCTGTCACACCCTTCCACTATGCTGTTTTTGCCTTGGAGCCAGCTGACCACGAACTGAACTCATGAAAACTGTGAGCCAGTTGTGTGTGTCAGGTATTTTGTCCCAGCTGTGAAAGAGCTTGATTAACATACCCCACATGCCAATCTGCCTCCAGTGTGTATTTCTTGGGCTCAAATGACCCAAGCTTTTGGTCACTGTAAGGGATCCACCAGGGGATCTTCAACCCCAGGGTTGTTGCCCTCAGTGATAGAAACCCTGACATAGACAAGAAGCTGCCCACAAAGCCACACCGACTCCTCCTTCTTAGGCCACACATGAATTCCATAGCAGCCTCCTCTGTCTAGATGTCATGTCTGAGCTCCCTGCAGGATGCATGGATGTGGGTGCCACTAGCCCAGCCTTCCATTTCTCTCTGGTGGCCTGGAAGCCATCCCAGAAGAAGACTCATCCCGCTGGCGTGTTAGGGTCCTTGCGAGACCAACAGAGGCTGCAGTAGCCTGGTGGACTAGAACCTATGAAGTGACAGGGTGAAGGCAGTCTACAGCCAGCCATTGCACTCCCACGGGGTGTCCATCCCTCCTCACAAAGCATGGCTCCTGTGACTGTCCGTTCTGTTCCTTTAATTTAAATACTTCTTCCTGTCTAGGACACTGAGGATGTTCATGTCTTTGTTAAAAATCTCTGTATGCACACTACTTGTAGAAACTGCAAAGAACAAGACAAAAAAATTGACCAAGTTTGGCCTCAGATTCCAGTACACTTGTCAGGCTGTGCCCTGTGGAGGGCCTGCTTGCTTATTCTCCCAGCTGCTCTGGGTCCGAGTCTTCCAAGGGGCCCAGACTCCCTTCACCATTACCTGGATGGTGACTCCATTTCCCTGGAACACAGGGAAGTCTCTCATACCTGCCTGCATATGGATGTACTGCCAGAGAGGAGAGAGGCCAAGAAGGATGAGCAACACCCAGGACCCATCCTGGCAGCAGGCAAGACTGAGGTGTGGGCCCCAGCTCATGGCAGCTCAGGACAGCACAGGACAGAGAATTTGGGGAAGGAACAAGAACTAGCTAGGGAGGGAGGGAGAGGGTGAAGGGAGGGCAGAGGAATGGGAAAAAAAATAAGAACCAAGGTTGATTGTGTAAAGGTACAAATTTCCAACCATGAATGTTACTAGATTGCATACATTAAATGTACCAATAAAATGAATGACAATAAAAAAGAAATAGCAATTCCTGGAATGAATGAAAGGTCAAAGTTATGGGACATAGAGAAAGCCTGTGAATAATCCCTACATGTGTGACACAGCCACTCCAGCAAGCCCTGTCACTTTGCAAATGTGGGGACAGTGTGGTCATCACTGGCCAACCTGTTAAATCCATGCCAAGTCAAGTCCAAACTTTTGCTGCTTGTACAAACTTTACAGAAATTCACCTGCAAAGCTGAAGGTGGCCTGCAGGGAGATGCCATTTAATTCACTCAGGATGGATT